CTATTATTTGGCCATTTTCTATGTTTTTGACCAAATGAACTATTTTTTTCTCTAAACATCTCTATTACAGGTAGTTTAAGGGGTACATGCCTTGAAATGCCAAAAAAATACAACTCCCTAAGGTTTGGGACGCATTTTGGAGCCAAATTGAGCCAACTATGGCCTATATGACCTATTGTTTGCCCATTTTCTATGTTTTTGACCAAATGAACTATGTTTTTCTCTAAAAATCTCTGTTACAGGTAGTCTAAGGGGTGCATGCCTTGAAATGCCAAAAAAATACAACTCCCTAAGGTTTGGGACGCATTTTGGAGCCAAATTGAGCCAACTATGGCCTATATGACCAAATGAACTATTTCTTTCTCTACACCTATTCATGAATAATGAACCAAGGAAAAAAGTTTAGGGAATTTGTTACCGCAATTTGCTGAGCTGTGGGGTTTACTGGCACTGTGCCTTTCCCAGGCAGCTCCTTGAAGTGTGTCTTCAGAAACAGCTCAGGAGCTGTTGGTAGCTGGCCCTTGTTCTTCGCCGCCTTTGATACAAAAAAATAGGAATAATCGTTAACCATGTCAAACCCTTGTTACATTGAAATACACAAATATGTCTTGTAATATAAGATATTTTAAAATAAACTTACCATCCTTTTTGCATGTTGGTGATGAGTGACATTTATGTCGCTCTTAGGATAGTCTTTTCTAGTAGTTTTAGTAATAATTCGGTCCATTTTAGTATGTTTTTGCTATGATCCGCCTAGTTCGAGTATTCTACCTTTGTGGCGCGTAATGTGTATTCATGTGGTTTAGGTACTCAATACTCCCCTCCTCTTTCGTTGTATTACGCCTTGCCTTCCTGTTCCATGATTGCAGGTGTATGCCGTTGATTCGGAGATGGAAGGAACAAGGGCAAAACAGGAAGAAATCCAGACCAGACAAATGGCGCGGGCGCGCCACTAGAGGAGCGGGCGCGCCACCGATAAGCGCGGGCGCGCATCCCTTGAGCGCGGGCGCGTTGATGAGCTGGACCAACCATTAAATACCCACTTTGGAGCGAGCGCGCATTTTGGGGAGCGGCCGCGCCATCATTTAACGCGCGGGCGCGCCATTATTAGGCGCGGGCGCGCCTCTCTACTGCTGATTCAAATCCCGATTTTAGCCCAAGTTAAAAGAGGGAGGCAAAACGGCTAAGGGGGGGACAACATTCTATCATAGGGATATTATTCAGCATAGAAACCTTAGAGGAGAGCTTTTAAGGAATTTTTCTAGGTTTTTGTTTTATCCACTTTTGTATTGAACAATCTAGATAGTTTTTAGTGTAATTTTCATTGTCCATCAACATTAGTTTTACTCTTAGTTTTTGAAGAAGTAATTTTGCAACATTGATGTATGGTCAAACTTGGAGATTGAATGTTGTATGGCTCTTTATTTTGGATTTCAATGAAGGTTTTGGTATATTTCTCCATTTTCTCTTGTTTTTATGATTAAAGTTTCTACCTTTGTTAGTTTAGTTGATAAAAACTTTGTCTTTCTTACTATTTCATTGGTTATAATGTTGCTTAGTATGATTGTAGTTGTAGTTATGACTAGTGAGTAGTTTCTTGTTGCTAGGGGTTTGGTGAAGATATGCTTTGAGTTTGATGTATGCTAGGCTAGGTTAATTTGGAATATTTGTGATTAAATCTTCCTTGTGCTTATACTTATTAGCCACTCCATGTTTATGGCCATATGCATGTTGTGGTTGAATGACGTGAACTAAATCGTGACGATAGTGCGACTTAGGAATAGTCATTAGGTGATTGATTATTGCATGACCTTAGCTTGTATGCCTTACGACGATAGTGTGAGTGTATGCT